AGGCTGCGGTGGCTGGGAGCAGCCACTGCACTCCAGTCTGGGTGATAGAGTGAGACTCCAGCTCAAAATAAATAAATAAATAAATAAAAATGTCAGCATGACCAGGAGACTTCCATGGTCAAAAAAATTCAGAGTCACGCTGAAATTGCACGTAGCCTTCAAATTCAGGGTGGGTGAAGAGCTATGAACATTGGATATAAATACTGGAGTGGATTTGTGTTGTTTTTTGTTTTTTGAGTTGTAATCTCACTCTGTCGCCTAGACTGGAGTGCAGTGGCACGCTCCCACCCACTGCAGCCTCGATCTGCTAGGCTCCAGTGATCCTTCTGCCTCAGCCTTCCAAGTAGCTGGAAATACAGGTGCACGCTACCACACCCAGCTAATTTTTGACTTATTGTAGAGACGAGTCTCGCCAAGTTGCCCGGATGAGTCTCAAACCCGCGGGCTCAGGCAATCCACTCACCTCGGCCTTCTAAAGTGCTGGGATTACAGGCTGAGCCACCAAGTCCAGCCTGATTTATGTTGTTTTGAGTGAGTTTTTGGTAATAATGCCAGCCCATCTCCCTGTAACCTGGCTGCAGAAATTAAACTCCCATTTCTCCCAGTTTCTGCCTCTCGTCTTTGATTGACCATGAGGGATAGCAGCCAGTTTGTTAGACTAGGCTAAAACAGTTCCATTCCATCTATTCTACTTTCAAACTCATTTGCCTAAAGCTGTTCATAAAATACTCTTTTGGAGGAAAAAAAAATGTCTGTAGGATTTGGAATAATGTCCCCTTTTTACTTCTGACATTGGTTATTTATACCTTCTCTCTCTTTTTTTTTTTCTGGGTTAATCTTGCCAAGGGCTTACCAATATTATTCTTATTCTTTTCAAAGATACAATTTGTGACTTTTAAGCTTCCCCTCTATTGTCCCCAATAATTAATTTGTGCTCTTATTTATATTCCTCCCTTCTACTTCTTTATGTTTAATTAGCAGTTTTTCTGATTTGAGAGATGTTTTTTCTTTTCTAATATTTGCTTTTATAAAGCAGTGATTCTCAACTTTACCTGCACACTAGAATCACCTAGGGAGCTTTCAAATGCTGTGTCCCACCCAAGAGATTCTGATATGACTGATCCAGGATGTGGCTTGGACATCAAGAGCTCCCCAAGTGATTCTAGGTGCAACTAAGGCTGAGAATCACAGATTTAAAGCTATAACTGCTAAATACTTTACATCCTACAAGTTTTTAATATTTGCTTCATCAATTAATTCAAATTGCTTTACAATTTCTGTTGTGATTAAATGTATATACATTTTTAAAAATGGGCAGCTGCAATGTATGGTTTGAGAAGTAAGGTAAATGGTACTTTTGGGGAAGAGGCACAGAGCTGTGACTGAGGGGAAATACAAGGGGAGCTTCTGATGTACTAGTATTACTATGTCTCTTGTTCTGGGTAGTGGTTACATGGACATGTTCAATTTATAACAATTCACAGGGCTATACCCTTAGGACTTGGGAGTTTTTCTGTAACTTTATATTACAATTCAATATAATTTTTTTTCTTTTTGAGACAGGGGCCTTGCTATGTTATCCAGGCTGGTCTCAAACTCCTGGGCTCAAGTGATCCTCCAGACTCAGTCTCGCAAGCTGCTTAGATTGCAGGTACAAGCCATCACATCCAGTTAGTATAATTCTTTTTAAGTGAGAAAACAGATCCTGTACAAGGAGTGGAAATTGTAATGGCCTTAGCCTTATTATTATTATACTAAAAGCTAGAAGAAATAGCACAATGTCTTCTAAATGCTAATAGAAAATGATTTAAAACCTAGAATTCTGTGGGAGCCTGGCTAGCTCAGTCAATAGATTTTTTTTTTTTGGAGTCTCACTCTGTCGCTCAGGCTGGAGTGCAGGGGCACACTCATGGCCACCCCAGCATTGACCTGCTGGGCTCCGGTGATCCTTTCACCTCAGCCTTCCAAGTAGCTGGAACTACAGGTGTGTGCTACCACTCCCGGCTAATTTTTTGATATGTTGTAGAGACAAGGTCTCACCAAGTTTCCCAGGCTGGCCTCGAAGCCCTGGACTCAGGCAATCCTCTCACCTTGGCCTCCCAAAGTGCTGGGATTACAGGCTTGAGTCACTGTGCCTGGCCGAGCATCAGAATTTTTAAAACCTAGAATTCTATATTCAGACTTTTAGTCAAATTGTGAGGGTAAAATAAAGACATTTTCAGTCAAGAAAGCTCACAGAAAAGTTACCTGCTGGGCACCTTTTTCATAAACTTCCTAGAGAATGTACTTCAGTAAAAGGAGGGAAGACACAGGAAGATGAAGAAAGGAGATCTGAGAAACAGAAACTTCATTACTGGAGGAAGGCAAAAGAAATTCCTAAGGTGGCAGCTGTGTAGCAGGCCTTGAAAACGACTCAGGCACTTGGAGACAGAAGGTTGGAGGATTCTAGGGTGAACATCTTCAAGAGAAACTAAACTAGTGTTTGACTATATAGAGAGATTTCTCAGTTCCATCAGAATACAAATATGAATCAAAGGTAGGTGCATAGAAAACTCAAATAATTAAAAAACCAAAACATGGTAAATATTACATTTAGGATAAAAGCAAAGAAGGATCTCTGCATCCAAAACATAGTTTAATACAGCTGTGAATAGGCATTTTATGACCATTACATAAAAAGGGATCACTGATTTAGCAAAGGATTGTGACACAACTGCATTAAATGAATGGAAGGAAGGGGCTTTTGTATGCTTTTGTGGTATGGGGCAATGTAAGACAGTATATCCTCATCTTCTACAGAAAGACATCAAAAGATAACTGAACCCCAAAAAGTCAAGAATTAGTATAAGCATAGAGAAGTATAAAACAATAAAAACAATTTAAAATGGGGGAAAGTGGGATTGTAAGGTATGAGACGGGTTGTTGCTGCATTCTGTTACTAAAACTGTAGCACTATTTTCACAGAAATGAAATTAACCGAAGAAGAAACTGAAGATGAAAGAGAAAATACCAGAGAACTAAAAAATTACTTTTAGATTTAAAACTCTGGATAATCATCAGAATCACCTCTTGAACAAGAGCAAGCATATGCATATCTCACATCAGTATTTGTTATTAATTTGTTATTAATTAACTGTTGTTTAGCCTAAAATTCTTCCTATAATTAGAGTCAAATTATCTATAACTTGGTACAGGGTACATGCAAAATTGCCCCCTTAAAAGCCAGAAGATACAAGTCAAATGTCTTCATGTTATCAGATTAGACTGAATTTTCATTACTGTAACTGAAATGTAACTTTTCAGGAGTGAATATACAATAAATTTGATCTGTTATGGAAACACAGGATTTTTCTTTTATCTTTTATGAACTGATACTCCATTAACGAATTAAATGCTTAAACTGAAAGAACAGACATAGTTTGTATAAGTGAAATTACCTGAAGAAAGTCACGAAGAACTGTACCAGGTCCATAAAATTGCTGTGCTGGGAGAAGGCAATCTGTGACAGAAAAACAGGTAGTGTGATTATGTAGGTCAAGAAGCAGCACCACTGACTCAGACTTCTCATTTCAAGAGTTAAGCTGAAAACAAAGTTTACATTTTAAAAAAGAAATTAATGAAAATTTTTTCACTTTAGGAAAAGTGCCTCACCCTTTCAGTTTCTTTTCTTGTTTAGTTGCCAAGCACAAAGTATTATTCTGAGGCTTCAGCACAACCTCTTGCAGTCCCCTCTGCGTTTTACATCAGATCTGCCATTCTTTCAGCCTAACCCTGAAGCCCCTTTGCATGCCTTCATAAATGTCCTGATGGCGGCAGGCAAGCCAATTCCCTGCTCCCTCCCAGCTCCTTCGTCCAGATGCAGGGTTCTCCTTGTTTACTTCAAATGCCAGTTCTTCAATCTCCTCAAGAGGGTTAGCTTCATTTGTGCTCTTTATTCTGTCAACATTTATGTACTCAGTGTGTACTCATTTCAAGATATATTATATTAAAAAAAAATCGTGTCTTAAGTTTTACTACATTGAATACCATCTGTCATTAGGTCATCAGTTGGAACTTAGTTTTATTATACTTAATAATAGTCTGTATACCAAGAATATAAAAAACTCTAATGTATTCTCATCAAACCTAAGACACCATTGACTGAAAGAACCATTATTTTGTGTACTATTAAGAAAAAACGCCGGGCTCGGTGGCTCAGCCTGTAATCCCGTGCTTTGGGAGGCTGAGGTGAGTGGACTGCCTGAGCCTGATGGTTCGAGACCCGCCCAGGCAACTTGACGAGACCTCATCTCTACAATAAATCAAAAAATTAGCTGGGTGTGGTAGCGCGCGCCTGTAGTTTCAGCTATTTGGAAGACTGAGGCGGAAGGATCGCCGGAGCCCAGCAGATCGAGGCTGCGATGGCCGGGAGCGGCCACTGCACTCCAGTCTGGGTGACAGTGAGACTCCAACTCAAAAAAAAAAAAAAAGGAAAAAACACAGCCAATTAAACTATGATATAATGTTTTTAAAATTATTGACTGTAAGATATCATGATTTCAGAGCTATTAGAATATGAAAAAATATGTACCTCAGAATTGATTAAATATAATAATTGTGTCTTCTTTTTTGAGTTGGAGTCTCAGTCTGTCACCCAGGCTGGAGTGCAGTGGCATACTCACAGTCACTGCAGCCTGGACCTGCTGTGCTCAGGCGATTCTTCTACTTCAGCCCTTTCAAGTAGCTGGTACTACAGGTGTGTGATACCATGTCCAGCTAATCTTTTTTATTTATTGTAGAGACGAGGTCTCACCAAGTTGCCCAGGCTGATTTCAAACCCCTGGGCTCAGGCAATCCTCTCGCCTCCACCTCCCAAAGTGTTGGGATTACAGGAGTAAGCCACTACACCTGGCACATAAAAGCTTGTTAATAAAGTTGGGGAAGGACAGTTATATTAGCAAGGGAATGAAGATTCCTTTCATTCCCTCTTGGGGAATGAAGATTCCTTTCATTCCCTCTTGGGGAATGAAGATTCTAAATTACAACACATAAAGAGGGAGAAGGAAACAGATTAACGGCCACCCCAGCTCTGTTTAGACTTTAATCCTTTAAACATTAGTGTATCCTCAGTGTTATATTTAAATCAATCCATGAAACATTTTACTCAATGCTGGATGCTCACAGCACCTAGGTGGTGACCATGTGCCCTGTGCCATGCAACTCTCATATCGGAGCAATCCCCACGCCATCCCATGCTGGATCCCAACCATCAGCCGGATGCTGAACCACATCACATTCACGTCCAATGTATAACCATAAAGAACCTTCGTAAACTAACTGCCAGTGTGGCGGGTACCCAAGACTCTATGTTGAATCTTTATCATCATAAGTCTCTACAATTCCAAGGCTGTGTAGGGAAGCAAAGTCATAACATAAACATGCTTATGAACATCTAGTCCTGCTTAACAGCCCACCTGCCTATGTCAGTTTTTTTGTTAAGCTTTGATAAGGAGATGAACCTACTGTTCAAACTGAGCACTTGAGCATGAAGGAGGGTGCTATTAAAAATTACACTGGGTGGCCAGGCACGGTGGCTCAAGTTTATAATCCCAGCACTTGGGAGGCTGAGGCGAGAGTACTGCCTGAGCCCACAGGTTTGAGACCAGCCTGGGCTACATGGTGATACCACGTCTCTACAGTAAAAAACCAACAACAAAAAATTACCCAGTGTAAAAAGCATAAATTGGGCTGTCCTTACTCACAGACCATCAGACAATACAAACCATCTGTAAAGTCAATCTTGCAAAAAGACAAGATTTTTGTGAAATCCTATTGAAAGTCTGTTGGAGAACTGCTCACACAAAACCGCTGACAAAGAAAGTTGTGGCAGATCTGGCCCTTCAGCTATCAGTTGAGGAGGGGAAGTGCTTCATAATACTCTCAAGAGGATTAAGAGAGGACCCTCGGGAAACTGAGGAGGCCTCTGATTACTGCTCTTTATTTATTTATTTATTTTTTTGAGTTGGAGTCTCACTCTGTTGCCCAGACTGGAGTGCAGTGGCCATTCCCGGCCACCGCAGCCTCGACCTGCTGGGCTCCGGCGATCCTTCCGCCTCAGCCTTCCAAGTAGCCAGAATTACAGGCATGCACTACTACGCCCGGCTAATTTTTTGATTTATTGTAGAGATGAGGTCTCACCTCCTGCTGTGAAGTCATGCCTGAAGTGAAGGATTCACACAATGAGGCTGTTACACCTCTGGGCACCATCTGTTCAACTGAAGCAACCTCCGGTGCCTTACCTTGCTCTATTTAATTCATAGCCCATATCTGTTATTTATTTATGGAAAATAAGATTTGACTGACACATAATAGGTGCTTAGTAAATATTTGCTAAATAAATACATATGATAATTGGAAAAATAATGACCTCTCTTTCTCCCAAAACTCAGTAAGACCTCACTGACTTTTCTTTCTTTAAAGAACTGGCTCAGCCGGGCTCAGTGGCTCAGCCTGCAATCCCGCGCCTTTGGGAGGCTAAGGTGAGTGGATTGCCTGAGCCCGTGGGTTCGAGATCCGCCTGGGCAGGTGAGACCTCATCTCTAAAATAAATAAAAAAATCAGCCGGGCGTGGTAGTGCGCGCCTGTAATTCCGGCTACTCGGAAGGCTGAGGCAGAAGGATCGCCGGAGCCCAGCAGATCGAGGCTGCGGTGGCCGGGAGCGGCCACTGCACTCCAGTCTGGGCGATAGAGTGAGACTCCAACTCAAAAAAAAAAAAAAAAAAGAACTGGCTCATGTAGCAGAACCACACCTGCTTCATGGTTGCAACCATAATTTAAATTTTGTAACTCTAAAATTAAAATATTTTCCATACTTTTTGTTTCATTTTTGAAGATACTATCCCATCAAATTTTCTTTCATGATTTACTATGAAAATGATGAAATGGATTTGGGGACCTTTCTGATAATGAAGGTAATGAGGACTATTTGATACGACGAAGAAAATCTAATTATAATTTTAAAAAAACTCAGAATGCCATTATTTTCTCCTTACAAACAGTAGATAACACACTCCACACTCTAATAAACCTAAAACTCATGTCCCCTACATTTCTACAACCTCATTCCAACTCAGCTTTCTGCTTGGTCAAGGTGTGTCTGTCCCAGGGCCCTCAAGATATGTTCATCAATTCTGAACAACCTGAACTCAGGAGCTTAGACTGGCCCCGGGTTTTGGGCAGGATGCTGTGGGCTTGTACTTCCTCAAGCACTGATTTTGTGCATTAGCTAAACAACTGTTTTCAAATCACTGCACAACTGTATCTGCTACCAGACAGTCATCAGAGAGCCTCCCTGTCTGTCCACACTGGGGGTTCTTCTGTCATTCATGGCTCAGCATGTACCTCTCTTCTTCATTCAGCTGCCCTCAGCCCCGCTGGGAATTAGATCACTTTCTTTTCCACTCTCTCTGCACTTGAGTCACTTCCATTTCAGGACACGTGACAATCATGTTCTACCCTATACTATGGCTAGAGGATTCTTGTATTCTTCTATGAAGATATCAATTTCTGATTTTTTATATATTTTATTTTATGTTTTGGAAACAAGGTCTCCTCTGTCACACCCAGGCTGAAGTGCAGTGGTGCAATCATAGCTCACCGCAGCCTCAAACCCCTGGTCTCATGTGATCCTCCTGCATCAGTGTTCCAAGTAGCTGGTGCTACAGCTGCATGCCATCATGTCCAGCTCATTTTAAAATTTTTTATAGAGACAAGGTTTCACTATGTTGCCCAGGTTGGTCTTAACGCCTGGCCTCAAATGATTCTGCTATCTTGGTTTCCCAGCTCTGGGATTACAGGTGTGAGCCACCACACCTGGCCCTAACTTTTAAATATCGTAGTAGGAGAATGAAAGAAAAGATAATTACCTGTCTCCCACATAGGAGCAGATACACCTTTATATTCCAAAAACTATGTCATGGTTCTCAAACTGTGGAAATCTTCCAACAAAGTCAGAATCCCAGGTCCTATCCCTACTCCTGTATCTTTAAGCTCCCCGGTGATTCTGATGCTAGGGTCCTTAGGCCACACTTCATGAAACTCTGAAATAAGAAATTATTAAAAAAAACTCCTTGAACAATTGCTTTAGTGTTTCTGGAACTGCACTGAAAAAAATTCTCTTTACTTGGAAGGCTAAAGCCTCATGTGAAATTAACTTGGATCTTCCTGGGGAGTAGGGAGAGTGGTGAGGAAGGATAAGGATAGAGGAAGAGAGGACAGTGCTTTGAAACAAAAGGAGATGCATGGCCCAAACTTGGAGACTGGAAAAGGAGGCAATCGGGAGGTTATCTAACATTTGAAAGTGCCTGGTAAATAGGGGTGTGTCTGTATGGTGGGCCAAGGCAGTCATCAGTGAATGAAGATTAGACTAGAGGCCTTCTCAGATCTCAGAGCTCAGTCAAGTCCTGAGATTCCTTGTGTCTCAAAGAGAAGGAATGGGTCTCTGTGAAAATAGGCTGGGAA